TTTTTTTTTTTTTTTTTTTTTTTTTTTTTTTTTTTTTTTTTTTTTTTTTTTTAGTTTTTGTAGCCAAACAATTTCATTGTTTAGCAATTTTCTTCATTAAATGTAGTTGAGTGACTTAAGGAAAGTATTGAGCTAAATTAATTTTAGAGCCTTGACCTTGTTGCTTATCAATAAGGCCCGACTCTTAACCTTGTGGTCATGGGTTCGAACCCCATGGTGGGCGGTGTTGTGTTTCTCTTTGTAATACATATGTTAGCTTTTTTTTTATTGATACAATATTTGTCTAGAAATAATTTACCACGAAGAGGCTAGTGTTCTTTTTTTTTCTTCTTCTTTTTAGAAGTTAGGTTGAGAACTTAAGGCTTGATACCCGAAATAGTGAATACTTTAAAACCATTTTGTCAAAAAATGTTAGATGATTAGATTATCTTATAGGTTGAATTGAGCTTAGTTTGCTTAGGTTATTTGGGTTCATATCTATTTAACTCTTCATAGATTGAAACCAATTTTACAGATATGCTTTAAATACGATAGTTAAACACTATTCTTACTTCAATGTCTAGGTGATTGACCCAAGTTAACTCAAATAAATTTAATTTAAATACAACATAATTATTTGATTCCCAATATTATCTAACTAGATTCTTGAATAAATGAATTAGATCAAAACACATTTCCCATGTAAAACCATATTTATTTGTTTAAAGGAAAAGATAGTTCTACTAACTGAATTGGCGATCTTTACCATATTTTAGTTTGTAAGCGTAGGGATCATATTATTTCTTTTTAAAAAAAGTCTAATCTGAAAACTATATGAGATTATATTGTAGACATCTTTGTACTATTTAGGAAGTGAACTTACTAATCTGCATATCATTCAGTAAATATTCTAAATTTAATACTCCAATTTTTTTTTAACACTTTTTATTTCTATTTTTAAAAATTCACTTCCTGAAAACATTCATCGATTTCTTCCAAAGATTCTATTTTTTTAAAAAAAGTTCAATTTTAAAAGCAATTTTTTAAATTTTTAAATAGAAAATTGATGATGTATACAGTATCACTTGTTTTCATAAATGAAAGAAAGAACAAAAGTAAAATGGGTTATGCAATATCTTTTAGTTTTTAAGATTTGGCTGTGATTTCAACAACAATTTTGAAAGTAGATTACCAAAGAAAAAGGTTAGCAAACAAACATAAATTTTAAAGGGAATAAAAAAAGCAAAATGTACCCTAACTAGTTTCTTAAATAATTAAATTAGGTTCACAAATTTTCTCCAACTTAACCTGATTAATGCATACATAAATAGCACGACCAAAGTTCATAGTTGATAAAGACGAGCTAAATATAACAGCATTAACTTTTACAGACACAACAAAGTAATGTTGGTATGAAACGTGCCAAACTTCAAAAAACTATATCACTTAGTTCCAGCATAAAACACAGAATAAAAAACAAAAAAACAAAGCACAAACCAATTTTTTTTTTTAAAGTAACTCAAATCAACCGTACCTTAACGCAAACGTCCGTAACCATAAGGTAGTAATAATTTGAAATCTAAAACCCCTATTAATTTCCTCACTTTTTATGCATCCAAAAAGTTTTAGTTTCAAAAATCTTCTCACGTTTGAAAGCGATAATGTTACCAAAACGCTCTATTGTTAAGACAAAAAGATCCAGTAATCTTACCTGTTAGATTCGGCGGCAGGTGTTGAAATTGTTGACTTCCGGTATGGAATTTAGACAAAACCCTTTTTCAACAAAACCACTCGACATACCAAATCAGGAGGCTCGTACCCGAAGTTACTTTTTATCTTAGCCAACAAATCCATTTCGTGCTTCAACTCAGCGAGGGTGCAGCCCATAGTTTTACTTTCTTGTCCACACTCGCAGTAGCCAAAACCAATACATTTTTATCTCCTGTTCCAAAAGAAGCGATTAGATATTTTATTATATTGTTACGTCATTTTTTTATACAGATCAACCACTTCCCCTATAAAGTAAAATAGAAAGGCAAGGTTGAGTAATACATTTTTGGTGTGTGACAAAAATGAATATATATTTTAAGTTGAATAAAATCCCAATTTTTTTTTTCCACTCATGAAAACCACTTGACTAGAAAAAAAAAATGAAAGACTACTGGGGCATACAAAAACGTGAAAATCCACAAAAGTGAGCTAGACTACAAGGAGTTCGAGTTGATTGAAACAGACCAACAAGAATAGTTACAAAAGTGCCTAAAATCCAAACAATGTTTTTTAGCTTTGTAAATTCCAGATATGGTCAAAATCAGAATCGTTTCTCCACTCATTACTTTAATTCCTATCATTTCAATTAAAGTCACGCTCACATAATTTTTCTGAACAAACTTATTACTAAATGTGACTAATACAACAATGTACTTTTAATTAAAAGAATCATCAAATTTTTATATATAATTTAATAAAAATAAAATCATCAAATATCAAATTTTACTTTTTGGTTGTAGTTAATTTATATTTTATATATTTTTTTTAATTCTCTCGTTTTTATATTTGTCAAATTAATTTCTCTAATATTTCCATATCTTAGAAAGCGAAATGAGATAATTAAGAAGACATGGGACGAGGTTTTACCTGATGGAATAGGCTTAGGTGCCCACGATATCCATGTGATGTCACCTGCATTAGGAATTGAGTGTCAGTATTCGGTCAGCTGGAAGTTCAAATTTCCAAAGAAATGAACTCCGTCAGGGGTAAATAAAACTGACTAATTCACAACTTTTTAACTTAAATTCGACAATGCACTAAAGCCCGTGTGCTATAGGCAGTTTAAAAGATGCACAATATTATCAAAATACAATGTTCTTAACTATATGGAATTGCACAAATCAAATAAGACAATCTCGTTGGGTTAAGGAAATTCTTAACTATATTATCAAAACAATGTTCTTAACTTAAGTGGAAGCCCATAAGGAAAAGTCAAAGAGGACAATATCTACTAGTATACAAGTATTGTTAAACACTTTCCAATGTATCTATAGATGATGCTAAGAAAAATTTTAACAGAAGTAGTCTTGCTCTCCAGGGAGTAATTAATATTAATATAACCTATAAGCGGGGAAGAAAAGAAACGGTAATAATTTAAACTTATACATACCATCATGAGCTCTCTCAGCAATGTCCAACACCTTTCCAGTTTCAACACATAACCACTGCAGTGTGGAACCATGCGTTGTTGCTAGTATCTTCCCATCAGGGGATATATTGAGACGATCATAATGCAGTGTAGCACCATTTGAATCATGTAATGGAATTGGAAACACCTTGAGAGTTTTTGGATCCTCATCGAGATGATACCACACTTGAAAAGCGAAAATTATGCAAATATAGATACAAGGAACATGTCAGTCGCCTAAAGTCATCTAACTATCCAGGTTAACATTTAACAGAAAGAAATCAGCAATCAATCAATTGAAGTTTTAATCTGATTGGTAAAAGAATATATAGTGTTACAGCATCACAGTTATAAATCATACATTTACTTAATTGCTAGTTGCTAAATTTAAGCATTAATTTCTATTTTTACATGTTAGATGAGTGCTTTTTTTTTTTTTTTTTTTTTTTTTTTTTTTTTTTTTTTTTTTTTTTTTTTTTTTTTT